ACTTAGTAATGTGTAACTGTAAGAAGAACAGCTGTAACTCCAGGCGTTGTTCTTGTGTTCGTCAAACACTGCCTTGTACCGACCTTTGCCAGTGTATAGATTGTTTTAATGTACTTAAAAAAAATAATGAAGTGCAGCAGATTAATGAAATAGAAGATTCCGACTCCTCAGAGGGCGAATGATAAGATGAGGAATTAGAGGACAATCAATTATTTTTCAATTCCTTTTATAAATGTATTACTTGATAACAATTATTTCAACATAACTGAAAAAAAACTCTTATTACAATATTTTATATATATATATATATATATATATATATATGTCAAAGTTAGTCTAAACATTAAGATTTCTATCAGTCAATGTGTATGTGTGACAAAATTACATCAAAAAGTAAATGGCAGTCCAAAATGAAGAAAAGTCAGTCACCAGAAGTATTTGAAAACAGTTCTTCCATCTATGATTTTTGGAAGGCACAAGATTTGGAAACAAAGGTTTTTCATGTTTTTTTATCAAATTAATGTACATTGCAATGTTTTACGAGGTTATTCAAATTTGAGAAACTCACACGACAATAGAAAGTAACGTTTTCATTGTTATGGCTTTATGCAAGTCATTTTATTTGCTGAAAATTCCTGATTAAATAAATTAACACATAATATAAGAGCATAGATATATCAGCTTCTTGTTGATACACTTAAATGTGCTAAAAAAAACTTATTTAAAGTTCATTTTACATGAAGTAAACCATGAAAATGAACTTTTTCCGTAAATGACACCCTGTATTATCTCCCCTTTTCTGAAGCAGTGCGCACATTTAGCCTGGAGATATCTTCAGATTTGAAATCAGCACGAAAAATAGTCCTAGAAACACTTGAAATTTTCTATGAATAAAATGTCCACGAACTCAAAATCTAAGCCCTTTTTTGGCCTCTGGCCCATACCCTATAATACAAGTCTTACTAATTAGCGGAGAAGAAGAGGTGGATTCATACTTTTCATTATGGTATTTGCGCGTAAGTAAAATATGACAAACCCAACTGGAATTTAAATCTGCTCTCCGATTAACAATTCCGAACCATAATCCATTAAATCAACCGCACATCCAAACTTAGCGCGCCTGGTATTCTCAAGTAGGTCACCATCTAGGCACTAACCAGGCTTGACGTTGCTTAACTTTAATTCGTACGGGAGCCGCTGTTTCAACGCAATGTGTCCGCAAAGCTAAACTTCGACGTTATCAGCGCCATTACAGTAAGTTGAGGACGAAGAACTCGAATATCTGACATTATCTCCGTTATTTATTTCCAGTGAATGTAAACTGAAGCCTAATTATTTTTACAAAATTTCAGATCACAAATCAAAAGCGTTGATATAAATTCCTCCACAAATTACTCTTCAGACTGCTTCGCCATTTTTACCGTGGAGTCAGGTTTGATGCTTGTCGTAACTGATGATCCGTTATGAATAATTTGGAGCTATTTTCTCTAACACAATGTTTCACGAGATCCAATTATTGCAAATACCAACATAATGTTAATGCTAGCATTATAAACAGAAATTCTGTACATTTATGTCCTTTTTGTTTCTGTCTGAAATCTTTTTACCGGATGCTTTTCTTCATTTTTCAACTTTTTTTTTTTTTTTTTTTTTTTTAAAATCACTTACATGCCTGACTGCTTTGAGGCCATTATTTTAAAACAAAACATTACTTTAAAAGAAAAATTCTAATATCTTACTTATAAAACATCAATCTTTTAATTCGAGTTTTTGGTTTATTTTTCCGATTTCTTTTCGGTTAGCCATTTCGATACATTACTTGAGATTAATTTTATTTAATTTTTTTTCTATTTTCTTTTTAGTTACTTTCTCGCTTTCGATGTTATGGGCTATATTCTATTATTGGTAATTGTGATTCCTAAAAAAAATCTCGCATTTTTTTTTTAAATGCTTATATATTTTATTTCATATCATTTTACCTTTTCCCCAGATATTTTTCCTATATTTTCGCAAAACTAGACGAACTTTTTATGCACGTCGCGAAAGTTCGTTATTTCAATGATTCGTGACTTCTTACATTTATATAATTAGTTTTTATACTCTATGTATTTTCTCCCAGTACATTCTTATGAGAAGTGAACTTTAGATAAATATTTAAAAAAGAAAAAAGCAATTTAAAATAACATTAATATCCATTATCGTAGTGTCCCACAAGAAATTAGATGAAATAAAGTGTATAAAATAAAATGTGAATACTGTGTTTAACTTTGAGCTGAACACGTGATAAAGAATATGAGTCTCCTTTTCCTCATCCTGTGAAAGTCCTTTGTATGACGTCGGCTTGCCTCAGAGAAAGTGGCCATTACCCAACCGCGCTGGCCCAATGCGTGTTAGTCGGGCCGCTTGGGGTATCATGTCTTTTCGATTCATGGTCGCACAGGTGTATTCCTACATCCAAACTTACGAATTCACAAGCGTTCATTCATCTAGGTTCTGACCAGACATTTTAATGTGATAAGCATATAAATTTTAGGTGTAAGTAAATTATGAATGAGCTATTGAGGATACGGAATTTAAAAAGGTCATAGGTTTTGTGTAGATTATAGATGAAGGTCCAAAGCATACAAAACTTGTGTTTTACTACGGATGTTTATTCTTTTTACAGTGACTGGAATGAAAAAAGTTCTCAATGTCTCTTAGGTATGTCCAATTGTTAGTTCACAATTTTAGGTACGTAAGTATAAGTATCGTATTCATGGAGGAGCTCAAGTCAGCTTTGCGCAGAGTTGGAAGAACCAAAGGAAAGTTTCTACTTTACCACTGGGATTTTAAAAATGGTTATAGCGTGTCCGTTTTCTTTTTCATCTCAGAAGTTAGAACAAGTGTCAGTATAATCAATGTTACTACCGTCGCTGATTTGGAACAGCCAAAGAGAAAGGTTAACTTACTACAAACGTTGTGATTTTTGGAGGAAACGCTCAAACGATGAGTGTTGGAAAGCAGGAAGATAGTTCAGTCGCCAGTGAACCTGGAAAACTAAGATTATCCAGTGGGAACTTAATTACCACATGGTTCACATCATGGAACAAGAAGGACAAACAAGATTGAGGCAGTAAATGTTTGCCTTTTTGTAGGTTTCAACAACGTCACCTAAGGACATTTTACGAAACTAAATTGGGTAATCATAGCATCATAGGAAAATTTCTTTCGTTTTCATTATTCATTATTATTTTATTTATAGATTTTGTTTCTGCTGATCTAATGCGTAGGTATGAAGTTTTCTGCAATTTATGGGAAAATAATACGGTTTTCTTTTTTAAAGAATCAGGAAAATGGAACGAATAAAAAATTATATCGATATACAAAATCTCTTACAATTAATGATGCGATAGTAACGATATGCAAATAAGATTTAAATGAAACGGGGAAATTTCAACTGAAATTGTCTTCTTTTTTTTTTTTAAATTTCGATAAAAAATTTTATACTAGATAACGTTATTTTTAAATTATTTCATCCAAAATAAGTCGTTAATGCCACTATGACTAGGACATGGCCAGTGAAAGGATCCTGTGCTCCGCGAATCTATGATACGCCCCCAACTCAGTTTTCATATTCATATAAAATTATAACCAGTGTACAATATTCGATCATATGCAATTTTGGTGAACAATTCAACGAGAAAAATTGAAAATAAATACAATGTATATGAATACAAATTAGAGACAGGTCATAGAAGATCCTTCCATCTTAAATGTCTTGCGGCAATTTTTAACATTCGCTTGAGTTTTTTCTTAAGTTGAATAATTTTAACACATTACGGATAAAAAAAAACATTGGCTTTAGTGTTTTTGAGACTTAGGAGTTAAAAATATTCACGGATAAGGACGAAAAAAAAAAATCGAAGAATGACGTCAAAATCTCGGAAAATTTTCCATCCTTTAATAGTCAGTTGTGCTTAGTTTAATATGTAACGCACAAACGTAGATAGAAAAATGCCAATGTTGATAAGATAGTGAGAATCACAAAGCACTGCCTGCGGTGCCCAATCAGGTTTTGCCTGCCAGTCGAAGTGGCGGTGGGTGACCTAATATGTGCCGGCCCTGTGCAAGGGGTTACTGGGAGTGAAAGAAAATGTGAAGACTTTAGTGGGAAGAAGGGACAATAAAAGGACATTTCAAGAAGACAGAAGATGTCGATTGATGTTGTATTTACATTTTTGAAGAGTGTAGGCGACATGGGAGCAAAGAATCGTAAGAGTTTCATAGGTGACATATTTGAAATTAATTTAAAATAGAACTTACGGTTACATCTAGTTATTTCAACAGTGAAACGATAATACCTTGTTGTCAATCTCGTATTGAACTTAAATTCACGCGGTTGGGGTATGAAGGAGAAGGAGAGTATTAGAACAACTGTCATGAAAATACTTATAGAAATGACAGAGGGAGTCAAGTTATAGCGGTGGAAAAATGACTGAAGACGAGGACCAATAACATTTCAGATCGTTCTTTGGATTTTGTCAAGAATCTCGCGATATATGTATCGCAATATTTTTAATAGAATGTATCAGATTTTATTTTATGAGTTGAACATGTACATGATAATGGCCGAAGATATCCGTCTACAAACGCTTGCTCAGGTGTATTTGCGTTTCTTCAACGCCCTCAGAGTTAACTTGTGGCTTTTATTGCTATTTTTTTGTAAGGTTCACGCAATAAAAGGCTCAAGAACCAATCAAGGTAGAGGATTACTGAATGAGTTATATGATATGATTGAATGATGGAGTCGTTTTCAGTAGCTTATCAACCTATTGCAGGTTATTTAAAGCGAGACAGTATTTTTAGAGTTATACGTTTTACTAATTAACATATAGGTGGGGAGAAGTGGTGGATTCATACTTTTCCCAACGCCATTTGCGCTTAAGTGAATATAACAAACCCAACTAGAAATGGAACTCCGATTAACAATTCTGAATCATTACAGCACCTGCACATCCAAGCTGACAGCACCTGGTATTCCCAAGCTATCACCCATCTGGATACTAACCAGGCTCTACGTTGCTTAACTTTGGTAAACCTACGGAAACTGGTGTTTCAACGTAATGTGACCGTAAGACACACATGATATCAACAAATAGCCATCATATGATATGAACAATTAGCCTAAATGATAGTGAACGTATGTAAAAAGTGAAGACTATGGAAATATGGCAGATAGATAACGTCTGGCGGTAGATTTGAAGAGATTAAGATTTCCGGGTGGAATGTCCTTTTCAAAGGAATACGTAAGTAACGAGGTCGATTCAAACTGTCGACGTAGCAAAGAGTTTCCGTTTGTAAAGCTCTAAAGAATGGAGCTCTTCGGCACATTTGCCATGGAAGTAACGATAGGCTTGCGAGATTGCGCTTATAGGAAAGGAGCTATAGGGTGAAAAATAAATCTTACTCCCACAAGGCCGCGTAAACGGTTTCGCAGTCCGCCAAGACGGAAAAGTGAGGATTGGGCGCCTGCAATTCATACATAGCAGCAATATTTCATTTCTGGTCTGAACTGACACTCGTTAAAATAGATCGTAGTAGATGGAGTCAGCTACTTTCTGGGGCGCTACTAGGAGCGGACCGTTTTCACAGAATCTTTACTGATGGGTCATCTGTCCGACTTTCACATGAAGTCTGGAGTTAACTGCCCAGTAAACGTTCAGATCCGGCAACCTCATTGACATTACAACCGTTCATTATGAATAATATCATCCGCATAGATTTTTCAAATTATCTGAGCATGTTCCTCGCTAGATCGTTAATATAAAGCAGAAAGATAGAACACAGAGAGTACGACTTGTGAATTCGTTCTAGTACGATCACCAATGGATTCTGAATAATTTCATCTACCCAATTTCCTTCAGAATGCCAACGTCTATCTGTGGTATGTTTTTTTTTTTCATGTCTCTCCTAGCAATGCAGAGACCGTCTCCTCATTTCGACATCCCCCTCCTTGATAAATCATGGCGAGATTCGAATCTGGGTTTCATAGTCGCAACCCTAAAGTTCCGATCACTCAGCCACTTGAACATCTATATAAGTGGTCATAAATCCGCCTTACATTGTTTTATTGCTTCGGCTTGTTGGTCGAAAGCGGTGATGTGTTCAATGAACGGACGGCTTTTTCCTCCTTTAATGTTAGACGAAGATATGAACTGTTCTATGGCAGCTGATTTTACTTGAAAACGGTTTTCTATTTTCCTTAAAAGAAGACTTCAGCAATGATATGTTCCCAGCTATATCCGTCAAGTTAGTGTTTGTGATATAGGCTCTTTGAACTGGTTCGAATGGATGTATTTCATTGGACGATAAATGTTTGCATTTTAATTGGAACTGAAAAGTTTATTTTGGACAGCGTTTGAATTGCTGTCGTGAGAATTACAAAGTCAAAATTCATAAAATCATTTAGAGAGGCGAATCCAGTTTAAGGCTAAATTAAATTTAGTACATTCTTCACAGGAACGGATCACCTCGACGTGGCGTAATGGTTGGCAAGTTTGTATCCCAAGATAAATTACGACTGAATACTGAGTTCGATCCTCACCGAGTGCTCCATAATTTCGGATTTATGCCATATCTAAGCTACGCTTAGAAAATCATTATTTACGGATACGTCATAATTGATTCCGTTTTGTGAGCAGCCAAACAAATACCTAACGTTGAATATAATCAATATTAAAAGAAATAAATGAATAGGGGATCTAGGTAACCCTGCTCTCACTTATCAGCAATAACCTATCTATATTATTAACATGGGCCTTCAACATTTTGCGTAAGAGGAATTTCAGACGACTAGAAAACACCTTCGTCCTATCCTTCACCTTCTTTGTGCTTTATCCATTGAGGACGTGGGCGATCATGGCTCCTCGTAAATTCCCCATCATTTTCAGCTCATAGTAACGGTTCATTTTGTTACCATCCCGCCCACTTTTTGTTCTTCCATTCATGGTTGTTAGGCAGTTGACTCGCTTTTCTCTCGTCGCTTTTGTCTTCAAATATATCCTGTGAGTGTCATTCTCTAAAATAGCCTTTCTGTACGTGTCCTAGAAATTCAACTGGCTCTTTCTGATACAAAGCCAGAAGATCGTTTTTAATTTCAACTTCCTTAAACCTTTTTTTTTTATTTCATTCATCTTGGGAAACACCTAAATTTCGAAATTAAAGCTTTTCTTTGTTAACGGGATTTAAACGTATCGAGATAAAATCCTAAATAGTTCAGGAACTGAATAAGAATATCATGTGGGAGATTAACCAACCTTATCTTCCAAGAGACTTCTGTTAACGTACGCTAGATGGCGTTGTATAAAGAAGTATGAACGGAACGTGCACAAATAGTCTCGTTTGTCTTCTGGTCGTACTTCTCAAAATAAAATACTATCTTCTATTTTTTTTTTTTTAAATAGGGAAACTACCTCCACTACAACTTATCACAAATGTGTAACACTCTGCAGCACAAGAGAATATCCCAGTTCAATAAGCGAAACAAAGTCACTTCCAACTGATGACACCGGTATCAAACTTGGTAACCTCAAGGCGCCACAAGTTTTGCAAAGCAACATTGTCAGTCACTTTCTCACAATAAAACGTTAAAGAATTGATTTTTCTCCTGCTCTGAACTAAGTTAGACCTAGTTCTCTTACGCGCTCACTCTCTCTCTCACACACACACACACACACACACATGTATATATTTCGTCCTTTGAGAGACTATCAAAGCAGTGTTGGATTTATTTTGTTGCATGTGTTGGTATAGAAAAGCGAGGTTGTCATTGGTTTATCAATGTTTTTAAATTTCAGAACGTTCATGAAAATTTATCAGGTGATTGAAAGGTCAGTAAAAATATGTAGAGGACAAAGTGTCATACTTCAAATTCTGTCAAAAACTAAGCAAATAATATTCAAGAATTTTTTTGAATAAATTGTTACGCTATGAGATTGGCTGTACATCTTCAAAAACACGATTTGCGATCGTGTATGTTGGCGTGAAAAATTAATTCTTTCAGGAATGTTTCCTTTAAAGATACATTTTCTGAAAATTTACACACGCGTATGAATTGAATTCATTCCTTTTGAAGATAGTCATTACATGTGTTTTTAAGACTGTGCAAGTCAAGAAATATTTTTGGTGAACGATTCCGGACGCAGGCACTAAAAAGAAAAGTAAATGCCGAGACTAGTCTGAATGTTTTTTACATTATCGTACATAACAAAAACATTGTATTTAAGATGCTTGAGTGTTCTACTTTCAATGTGTTTTTTTATTGGCTTGATTACGAGAGGCGGTTTCTTAAATACCTAACGTCTTCAGGTGGTTACTGATGCTGGCAAAGAATGCTAAGTGGACTAAACCATAATTCGAAATGCTAATATCATTTTCATAAGTATATATCACACACATGCTGCGATGGATAAGTAGTCTAAATTAGGCAAAAACGAAAATTACACATTTCTTTCTAACATATTTACCAAAATTACACAAAACTACATTGAAATATTGAAGAGTAAATATATTCAATAACATCGCCATTGGCTTCAACCATGGCCTCCAGACCACTTCGGAATCTCCTGAAATTCTTCTGGACGGTCTCTTTGTTGAAAATGATCAATGCTGGCATAATTCTTACCTTCAGCTTGCTATTAAAAAGAGTTTGGTTGGTCCCTCTCTCTCAACTACGCCCGACACAAAAATCAAGGGAGTTGCAGCAGTCTGGGGAGTTATGTGGCCAAATGTAAAGGGTGATGCGTTCGCAGACATTTCCTAACAGCCATGACTGGGTTATGCTGCTTAAGTGTCAAGGTGCGGAGTCCTGTTGCCAGACAGATGATCTTTCAGCAACTACCCTCTTGACCCAAGGTAATAATACCTCCTCAAGGCACTTGATGTAGGCCTCCGTGTTGAGTGAGGCTCTGAGAAGATGAACCATTAGACTCATCCAACTCTTTACGAATCATCTGCACTGTCCGGAGATTGACACCGAAAAACTCTCAAATGTTCGTATTCGAGGTCCCGGTGCGAATGCCAAGTAGTATAGCATACCGTTTCTAAAGTTCTGGCGGAGTGAATTGTCATGTTTCTCTTTTTCTCACAGATGGTTTTCAACTAACCCTACTATACTGTGCAGTCGACAAAAAAAAAAAAAAAAAAACAAAAATCAAAAAACAAACAACGCGCCTGTGCTAATTAAAAATATAAAATTGTTACATACTCCTACGGAGCCAGGCAAACCTACCTAGGTTTCACCTAAACGGATCTTCAATGTAAAGCTAGCTTTACCATGAAGGTCTGTTTAGGTGAAACCTAGGTAAGTTTGCTTGGCTCCTTAGGGTTACTTTAAGTTCGCTCTACTTAGCACTTTACATAGTTGTCTTTTACACTTTTTACTCGTTTTGTTTTTTTCTTCTTCTTTGGACTTGGAACTTAAACACTTGACAATTGTTTTCGCCTTGTTTTAATGTTCTTGGTTCTTTTTATTTCTCCTTTTTCCTCGGGTACGCATTTGTTCTACAAATTAAGCTATCCAAGGTTTTTCCAAACCATCCATACATATATCCATGATATACCTGCTGGCAAGATAGGCGTTGCGTACATGAATAAAATAGACCAGCAGATGAGTGTTCCTTGCGTGGCACAATATGCACCGAATTCAACAAAATTATGAAGGTTACTGATTATTATGCTTAAAAAGCAAAATTTTTTTTGCAGATTTACTACATAAAAGGACACAAGCTGCCTACCCTAAGTAATTACTAACTGCCTGTGTTTCATATATATATATATATATATATATATATATATATATATTATATATACACACAATTTTGGCTTTGTCTGGTCAGTAAATGTTTCAGAATTGCTTCTGTCTAGAAAGTTAAGGAAATGATAATTCTTTCCGACTTTGCTTTTGAACCTGGACTTTGAGGTTTTTAAATTAACGTATATTCCATTGCATTCAATAAAGATTCAGAGTCTCATTGCCGAAGGAGAAATTTCTAAAAATTTTAAGAATTTCTAGAACTTTCTCGCAACAGAGATGGCAGTACAAATACAGGAAACTTAAGGTCAACAGTTGAGTTT